GGACGAGGAGGAGGAGGAGGAGGACGAGGAGGAGGAGGAGGAGGAGGGAGGCCTCCCTGAAGAGAAGGAGGCATGGCTGCCGACCTGTGCTGCGACCCCCCGGGCGGCCCCCCGCGGTCCTCCGCGGGCGGCGACGCCTGCAGGCGGGCTGTCGCTCTGCACTCATCCTCGGCATCCATAGAGGTTACGTGTCCGCCTGCCTACCAGCCCTCCGCCCACTCGCCGCCTCCTCCTCCCTCCTCTCCTACTCCGCCGCCCCTCTCCTCCCCTCCTCCTCCTCCTCTCTCCTCCTCCTCCCTCCTCCTCCTCCTCCTCCCTCCCGCCCTCCCTCCCTCCCTCCCCTCCCTCCCTTCCCTCCCTCCCTCCTCCCTCCCTCCTCCTCGTCCTCCTGCTCCTCATCCTCCTCCTCCTCCTCTCCTCCTCCTTCTCCCATCCTCCTCTCTCCTCCTCCTCCTCCTCCTGCTCCTCCTCTCCTCCTCCTTCTCCTCTTCCTCCCTCCCTCCCCTCCTCCCTCCCTTCTCCTCTTACCTCCTCCTCCTTCTCTCCTCACCTCCTCCTCTCCCCACGTCCTCCTCTCCTTCCTCTCCTCCTCCTCCTCCCCCTCCCCCTCCTCCTCCTCCTCCTCCTCCTCCTCCTCCTCCCCTCCTGCCTCCTCCTTTTTTTCTTTTCTCCTCTCCTCCTTCCTCTCCTCTCCTTCCTTCCTCACTCCTCCTTCTACCATCCTCCTCCTCCTCCTCCTCGTCCTCCTCCTCCTCCTCATCCTCCTCCTCCTCCTCCTGCTCCTGCTCCTGCTCCTCGCAGGTACTCCTCCTCGTAATAATCCTGTCCTAGCGTGGCACGTTATCTCCCGCACGTTGTCTTGCAGCGTATAGGATTTCAAATGGTGGTCTACAATATGGTTTTTTCTCATCGGAACGTTTACGATGCTTCACAGTGCTCCCGCTGCAGTGCTGGCTTCGTTTTATGATTGACGCCTTGATCTCGTCGTTCAACATGGCGCTCTAACCCCAGCGCTCTGATCCTTCATCGTCGTTGTCGCCCCGCCCCGTTCCCCTCCGCCGCCTTCCATTGGTCCTCCTGCTCCTCCCGACCCTCCTGCTACTGCTCCTGCTGCTGCTGCTGTTCCGTCTCGTCCTCCTTCATCCTCGTCCAGCCTCACATTCTTCCTGCTCGTCGTCTTACTCATCCGTCGCCTCCTCCTCATCCTCCCACGATGGGCTCGGCTCCTCTCTTCCGATAAAAAGCATAACGCGACGGGATCCTTGGGAGGGCTCCTGTCCGCTATCGCGCCCGTCGGCGGACGGAACAGACAGCCTCGGGCAGTGAAGAGAAGTCTCGCGGCGGGAAGGGCATAGGCGGGAGGGGCGGGACGCCAGATGTGGCGCGAGCGCACCTGGCCTGTCGTCGCGCGAGCGCACCCAACTCGGCGGTGGACAAACCTCCCTTTAGTAGGGGGCAAGCAAACCTACCTCGCTTTTGACCACCCTCGCTTCCAAGAGATACCAAGCGATGCCAAGCTACGGCCTGTACTGGACAGGCCGCTCGACGAGGAGGCGCGTGGTATGACTTGGTTTTGCCTGGAAGCGAAAGCGGGGTAGGTAGTTCACGCTCTGATTTAGTAAACCACCCTTTAGTGAGAACGGCCTGGGACCAAAATCGACGGGCCTGGACCCGCTAAAGTGACGGCCGCGACGCCCTCGCGCGAAGCAAAAACGGCCAATTCACTCATCGACGTGTCAGGGTAGGAGGTCTGTCAATCTCCGACTAGCCTGTCGTCCACCACCTTCTCTTTCTCCCTCGCCGGTCCTCTAGTCGCCCGCGTGCTGCTCATACTGTGGCATTGCCTCTGCGTGGACACGTGTACTAGCCAGCTGGCACGCCGCCACGACTGCTGAGAAGATATCGCCTCGCCTGGCACCATCGACATAGATGGCTTGTCGCGTTTGTTATTCCACCCCTCTTCTTCCACTTTGTGGACGGATGTACCCCTCCCCATACCCCCTCCCATGGAATCGGGACCAGCGTTTCGCGAGGTGTCAGAAATTCTCTTGTTGCCAAAGATGGTTCCAAGGTGGCCCCAGATAGACAAATCGATGCTGCAAAATGGCACAAGACAGCCCAAAATGGTTCCAGGTAGCTTCCGGCATGCCTCCAGGAGCCATGAAGACCGCCTAAAGACGATTTCCTGTGGCCTCGAAACCACCCAAGGACGCCACTGAGATGCCAAAATGTGTCAATAATCTCAGGTACATCGATCATGCGCGCCTCCTCGCCTGTTTACTTCCACAAGGGATCCCAGCTTCGCGCTTCGCGCTGCGCGAAGCGCGAAGTGTGACTAACTTCGCGCTCTCGCGCCACCTCCCAGTCGAGGAAGAGGAGGAAGCGGAGGAACTGGAGCCGAACCGCGAAGCGCGAAGCGCGAATATAACTTCGCGCCCTCGAGGGCGCCCTTCTTCCAGTGGGCTTCTGAGTGCTCGAGATGGCTCCAGCATCGACCAAGGAGCCCCACAAGGAGGGCTCCAAGACGGCCCCACGAGCGCCCGAGACCGCACCCGAGAGCGTCCCTGCAGGACCCCGAAGGGCGATGGCTCGGCGGGCTCCGGCGGGGGACCTGTCATCCGATGCTTCTGTGCAGTGCCACTTCGGCTCAAGAGCCCCTGGAGGGCGAAAAGCTACCTGCGCTTGGCACGCAAAACACATCAGCATCCGAGCAGGCTTTTTTTTTTGTGACCCATCGGGGCTCAGGAGGCTCCTGGGGGTCCCAGTTGAAGGCGGTCGACTCCTTGGTCGAGGAGTCCGAGGGCACCGTGGCGAGGGGGGGGGCCCACTGTCCGCGGGGAGCACCCGCCTGCCGCACGGCAAGCAGGGCACGAGATCAGCATCCGAGCAGGCTTGATAGTCTTTTTCAATCGGGGGGGGGCGTGATGAGCGCCACCCCCGCACTTGCCCGGTGCCCTCCAAGAGGAGCGCGCGGCAAGGCCGAAGCGCTCGGCCACCCTGGAAAGAGGCCCCCACGAGGCGTGCTGCTACGCAACGGCGCCACCCGTACAAGATTCGATCACCGACCACACGAGAAAGAGCACTGCAGCTGACGCGACTCCGGCTTGTGCTCCGTCTTCTCCATCATTCGTGCCATCACCAGCATCCTCGCTGCCATCCTCGCGTTCATATTCCTGTCGCTCCCCCTCTCGTTCCTCCTCGCTCCTCCCTCGCCCCATGTTGCGTTTCTCGCTTCCCTCGGCCTTCACGCCCCACGCCGCAGACTGCTCGGCAGCGGTGTTCTGCAGGTTCACCGCTGCGTTCTTCATGGCCGCCGTGGCCGCCGCGGAGGCGGCAACAGCACCCTGTGCATCGAGGGCCATCCTCCTCACCCTACTCCCTTCTCCTCCGTCTCCTCCTACTCCCCTCGTCATCATCATCATCATCATCATCATCATCATCATCATCATCATCATCAGCAGCAGCAGCAGCAGCAGCATCAGCAGCATCAGCATCATCATCATCATCAGCAGCAGCAGCACCATCATCATCAACCATCAGCATCATCATCACCTGCAGCAGCAGCAGCATGATCAGTAGCAGCAGCAACGACATCAACGACAATAGTATCACGACTATACCATAACCATCACCAACAACAGCATCATGAACACCATCACTCATCAGCATCATCATCATCAGCATCATCACCACCACCACCATCATCATTAACAGCAGCAGTATCCTCATCAGCAGCAGCATCATCATCATCAGCATCATCATTATCACCATCATCATCATCGTCGTCGTCATCGTCACCATCATCATCAGCATCAGCAGCAGCATCATCAGCATCATCATCAGCATCGTCATGATCATCGTCATCGTCATTCATTATCAATAGCAGCATCATCCTCATCATCAGCATCAGCATCATCGTCATCATCGTCATCAACACCAGCAACATCATTGTGACTGGCATACCAAATGCCCCACAAGCTCTCAATCACTTGACGAAGCTGCGGAAAATCAGCAGGGAGCGGCATGGACTGCGCGAAGGTGTGCAGCAAGGCGACCATGCCAGTCGCAGCGCCTGCCCGAGGCACGGCCAGCTGGCAGGGCGCCCCCTTGGACGAGGCCCAGCCACCGCACCGCCCTCGTGCGACCCCGCTGGGCCCTCGCGAGGACACGCGCGCCTTCCTCGCAGGGCCCGCGCACAACGCTGCGCCGGGTCGCTCTGGTTCCAGCGCCTGCTGGGCTCTGCAGCCCAACCAAGCACCGCCAACGTGGCCGCCACCGCCGCACTGTCCACCTCCCGCGGACGGCGTCGCGCGCGCGGGGGCCACCGGTGCCCGAGCTGCCACGGCTCGCACTCTGCGCCGCCCGCTCGACTGCGGCGAGCGTTCCCCACAGGCCGCCGCCGTCGTCGTCGCCGTCGTCATCGTCGTGGTCGTCGTCGTCGTCGGCGTCGGCGTCGGCGTCGTCGGCGTCGTCGTGGTCTTCGCCGCCGCCGTCGCCGCCGCGGCAAGCCGCGCGGGTGCCGCGGCCCGTGCGAGCCAGTCCGCGGCTGTGCCGCAGCGGCCGCCCTGCCGAGCCCCGCGCGCTGCCGCGGCGCCCTTGCCCAACAGTGGCGGCAGCGGGGCGCGAGCTCAGCCCACGGGTCCGCGCGTGACCACTCCCGCGGCGACGCGCCACAGGGCGCAGCGGCTCGCCTCGCTGCCGCGGGCACGTCGCGACGTCGCGACGGCTTCCGCGGCCCTGCCCGCGAGGCCAAGGGCCTCTCTGCGGCGCCGCCTCGAGCTCAGCCCGCGGGGCGGTCTGCCCGCTGCCGACGGGGCCACTCTGATCGGCCCGCAGCGCCCCGGGGCTCCCCCGGCGACCCGCCCCCCGGCCCCTGCGCACGATGGCAACCAGTGGGAGCCTCCAATGCCATTTAGCTGGCCCTTCCGAGTCGACGCCAACCGATGCTCATCGACGCCAGCCGACGCTAAGCCGATGCTAATCGACGCCAATCGGCGCTGAATCGGCGCGTCCTCATCGACTACCAGGCGCTATCGCACGCTACCGCGCACGAAAGACGGAATTACAAGGACACACACACACACAGTTTTTACGTCGCAGCGCGGCAGAGGCGATCCGCTGGCGCGCTCCAGTAGCCCCGGGGCGCGTGGCGTTCCCATTACGAGGACACACGAGGTTCTCATGAGTTGCTTTCGGTCGGGCATGTCCCCCCACAGGCGGATTCTGGATGATAAATAAAAACATTCAAAAAAAGAATACCCCACAAATCGTCACCCAGCTATTTCGTTGACCATGTTTGACTATTCCCCATTCGGGAGCGGCCAAGAGGCGGGTGTCCAAGAGGGGGGGTGCAAATCATGACCGGCGGCATGTGTGCGGCCCAGCGGGGGGAGCCAGGGACGTGATGGAATATATAAGAAGAGGCGCCATGAAATCTGAGGAAATATCATGGCCCCCGCCATGATATCCACCCCCCTAGTCATCACCCCCCTCTTTGCCGCTCCCGACCCATGTAAGGGGACGTGCCCGATGTAAGATTTCAAGTCTTACATCGGGCACGTCGTGCGCTCGCTCGCCCTGTCCGCCCCCAGCCCTGCAAGGCGCGGCCTCTTCCTGCGACACACGGCACGCAGCCGACGGCGGCAGTGCCCGGGGGCCCGTGCTGGCGGTGGCGGCCGACGCTTCCGGACGATCGCCCAGCAGGAGGAGGAGGAGGAGGAGGAGGAGGAGGAGGAGGAGGGAGGAGGAGGAGGAGGAGGACGACGAGGAGGGGGAGGAGGGAGGAGGAGGAGGAGGAGGAGGAGGAGGGGGAGGAGGGGGGAGGAGGAGGCGAAGGAGGTGGAGGAGGAGGAGGAGGAGGAGGAGGAGGAGGAGGAGGAGGAGGAGGAGGGAGGAGGAGGAGGGAGGAGGAGGAGGAGGAGGGAGGGGAGGAGGAGGAGGAGGAGGAGGAGGAGGAGGAGGAGGGGGAGGAGGAAAAGGAGAGGGCCCTCCCAGAGGGCGGCTGGACTTCCCAGAAGCCCTCACGCCTTCTGGTGCTACATGTTCTCCCTGGGAGGCGCGCGTCCGACCCGAACACGTAGTGTACTCATCCTGCAGCACATACTTTCCCGAGCGGTGTGCCTCGAAAGCGCCCGCCACGACGCCTACACTAGAAGATTTCTCGGTGCGCGCGTCGCCCCAGGGCGGGCGACGCACACACACGTAGTAGTACTATGTTGGGGTGGCGCCGAGGGAAGGCTCAGTGCGCTGGTAAATATGAGCGGGTGGTAACGAACTTTCAAATCTCTCACAATCTCCCAAAAACGACCCCAGGTTGCCACATTGTCCGCCCGGGCCGGGTCGGTCAACTAGCTCCACCCCGCGCCGGAATTCGCGCATCGATGCCGAAGAGCTCTACGAGGTAAGCACCTCTCCGGAGGCTGGGGGACTGCCGAGGCTTCTGTGGAGGCCCGCCCCTTGTCGCCGCCGACTCGGGGCGCCACGGTGGTGGGGCCACACGCCAGAGCGCAAGCCAGTGCTGTCAGGTCGGGCGTGTCCCCCCACAGGGGGGATTGTGGACGACCAAACAAAGGGTACCCCCCAAAAAAACTCAAAAAAACGGCTCCCGAGCGGCTCCCAAGAGCTCCCAAGCTGCCCCCAAGGGGCCCCCGAGAGCGCTCGTCGTCGTCGTCGTCGTCATTCAGGGTCGGCGGCTCCGGCCGCAAGGCCTTCGCAATACCCCCCCCCCAAAAAAACGACTATTGTTTGGCTATTTTCGAATATTCCTCCTGTAGAGGGACAGGCCCGACTTAAGAGTACTTGGGGGGGGAGAGGGGGGGGACCCCTCTGGGCCCGCACCAAGGGTCGCTTCGGCGAAGGGTCCCTGTCGGGCGCAGCCGAGCGCAAGGCTGCGCGACCTCGGGCGGCAGGCTGGTCCACAGGGAGGCCGCGAGTGAGCCGCCGCCGGCGAGAACCGCAACGCGAGGAGCACACCACCTCGGGCAGTCCTGGGTCGCGCGCCCACAGCAGGAGCCCAAGACCCTGGCGGGCCGACGCGTAGAACACCCCACTGGGTCAGACAGATCGTACGCGCTTGGGGATGAGGGCAGAGTGGAGGGAAGAGGAAGAAAGGGACACGGGAAAGAAACGATCAAGGATGGGTGCTGGCCTTCCCCCAGCTCCCGCGGCGCCTCCCTCGTCGCGGCGTGCTGCCCATGATCGGGAGCCGCGCGGCAGCGAGGGCATCGCTCCAGCTCTTGGCCCCGCCCTGCCGCGACCTGCCTGCGTGGCGTGCGCGGCGCCGCGCCCGTGCACCTCCCGCAGGAGGCGCCCGGGCGCCCCGGAGGGGCGCGGGCCGCGGGCCGCCCAGCCCGCCAGAGCGGCGCGGCGGGCGACCCCGCCGCAGGCCTCGCGTCCGCGAGGCGGCGCGCCGCGGCGGCCGCCCGTCGGCAGCCGCGGCCACAGCCCGCCGCCCCCCGGCACCGGCGACCCTGCGCCAGAGGTGGACGGGGAATTTGCTGGCGGAGGAGTGCCTCGGCAGCCTGCCGCAGGTGGCGCGAGCACCGCCACCGCAGAGGGGGCCGCGGCGCCAGCCGGGGGCCGGCAGCGCTGGCGACGGCACCGGCCGCAGCGCGGAGCCCTCCTCTGCAGGCCGCCGGCCGCGCAGCCGTCCGCAGTCCGGCGAGCTCTCGCGTTGGTGGGTGCCCGCGCATTGCCCCGTGGAGACGGGCCGTTGCATCCGTCGCGGCGCCAACCCAGACATCTGGCCGCTCTGGTTGTTGCGATGCGTGGGCCCCGGCGGATCTGGACCACTTCCCCAGGGCCGGTCTTCCCTCCTGAGCCGCTTCCTGACGGCCCCGAGGCCAGGCGAGGGCCCCTGGCGGCCGAAAACGGCCAAAAACCCGCCGCTCCAATTTTTCTGGGGCGTCGGATCTCTAGGTAGGCACGACGTGGGGGAGGAGGAGGAGGAGGAGGAGGAGGAGGAGGAGGAGGAGGAGGAGGAGGAGGAAGGAGGAGGAGGACGAGGAAGAGAAGGAGGAGGAGGAGGAGGGAGGAGGAGGAGCAAGAGGAGGAGGAGGGGAGGAGGGGAGGAGAGGAGGACGGAGAGGAGGAGGGACGAGGAGGAGGAGAGGAGGACGAGGAGGAGGAGGAAGAGGAGGAGAAGGGGAGGGAGAAGGAGGAGAACGAAGAGGAGGAGGAGGAGGAGGAGGAGGAGGAGGAGGAGGAGGAGGAGAGAGGAGGAGGAGGAGGAGGAGGAGAAGGAGGAGGAGTAGGAGGACGAGGAGGAGGACCATTGAAAACTCAAGAGTCATCAACGATGTTGGAATAAACCCTCCCTCCAAATTCCCTCGTCACAGGTCCCTAC